GGGCCGCCTACTTTCCCAAAATCCTTCGGCCCAACGAAAGCAGGAAATTCATCCTCCTGGGAACGTGTGCACCGGGCCTTGAAGGAAGCTGTTCTCCACCTCGGGTTCGGCAGTATTCTAAGTCACCTTTTCTGTGGTGTAGCCAATGAATTGCTCTCTCCTTTCCTCTTCTTCTGCAGCCCCACCCACTACCACCAGTACGGCGCCAACACCATCATCTCCAGGTAAGTGCATTACCGAGGAACAAGTCCGAGTCTGTTGAATGGTCTGCTTTCCCACCAAATTGCCTTTGGACACTCCACCACCTGTTGATTGCAATTCTTTTCCTTTCCAGTCACAACCGTCCCCAGCAGCACACCGAGAACTTCGTCCACCACTTCGCTGACCACCACCTCAAGCACCACTGTCTCCACAGTGCCATCCACCATTAGCACGCCCAGGACGACCCCCACCACTAAGCACCGCATCCCTGCCACTACCACCTCTCCAACATCCAGCCCCACGCCACTGCCCCCAACCACAACGACAAGCGTCCCCACCACCTTATCCACCATGACTACTACACCCAGCACACCCACACCAATCACAACCATTAGTGTCCCCACATCTTCCCACACCCCTCCTACTTCCACCCCTTTGACTACAACGAAACTTGTCTCCACCTCCGTGCCCACCTTCACCACGCCTACCACCACCACCCATGTGAGCGCCATCACTCTAACCACTACCATTCCCACACCCACCTCTACAGAAACTACAACAACCACAACCTCTACCACACCTGCTCTCACTTCTGTCATAAGTACTAGAGGTAATTTTTTTCTAGCCAATCTATTGTCCTGCTCACTAACAATCCATTTGTTTAATCCGCTTCCAGTAATCACTGAAATCTAACCTGACTTGCGTTGATAGAACTTCCTTAATGTATTAGGATTATCATCCTCATTTGTACTTTTCTTCTTTCTCTTTTTCCCTTCTCTCTCTTTGTTTTTTTGGGCATTCTCTTTGGATTTTCATTTGGTGACCATTATCTCTACTACCTCTAGACATATGTTACAACTCCTATCCATAACCAGATGTGCAACCCCCATGTTTTGTATTGAGACTGGTCCTCTGTAGTCCTTTCTTTTTCATTGTACCCATGACTCATAGCCATCCTGTTACTTCCAATCCCCAGACAACTATCATCCACATCTTCAGTAGCACATATTCATCTCTACTGGCATTTCTGTTGACCAAAATTGTCAATATCTCACCTCCCAGTAAAACCTTTGGATTAGCCTAAATAGTGTGTCCACAAAAACTTTTATTTCCTTTTTGTTATCGACTTAAGTGACCCACTGCTACTTCTACTATGCTCACTCAAATACATGAGCCACAACATTTCGTGTAACTATTGGTATCAATATCATCTCTTCTAATATTCCAACCTCTGCAAGTAGAAGAATTATAAGTAGTAATCATTACTTTTCTCATCACTCTTTTTATGGTTTCATGTTCATTAGGAACTTCTTCAACCTGTTCTATTAAATTTTGTAAATGCATACATGTTCTCGTGGAAGATATCATCTTCCAGCTATAATTTTTGTATATTGCAACCATTACAAAAGTGTCAGCTTCATTCCATTCAATAAGTGTGGGTGTTTCTTTGATTTTCTTTAATAGTGTGCTTTTCAGTGCAGTATTGATATTCAATGATTCTTCTTCCTTTTTTATTATTTATAATGGGTTCTGGTTTTTCTTTTCTCTTACTCTTTGTAAGACAGGACGAGACTTGTTGATTGGCATTCTTTCCGTTAGTTTCTGATTCCTATGAAATTGATGCTATACTGTTAGGGGTTGTTTTCATTTCCATTCATCATTTCCCCACCAGGAATATAGAGGCAGATCCATTTAGGACGTAAATTCCCTGCTTTGGCACTTACTAATGAGTGGTTGATCCCCAGGACAGATCCTCTCCAGACTTCCTACAGCCTGTTTTCGTTACCAGTCCAGTGCAGTGGTGCCTCACTAGACAGTTACCCCGCATGACAGTTTTTTTGCTAGACATTGACTTTTTGTGATCGCTATAGCGATTCGCAAAACAGTGATTCCTATGGGGGAATTTCGCTGGACAATGTTTGGTCCCTGCTTCGCAAACCGATTTTTGCTAGATGACAATTTTGACAGCTCCCTCTGCACTCGCAAAATGGGTGTTTTCGGGACCTATGCTTCACAAGACAGCTATTTAAACAGCTGATCGGCAGTTCGCAAAGCGGCTTTCCTATGGCCGATCTTTGCTAGACAATGACGATTCTTCCCCATTGGAACGCATTGAACAGGTTTCAATGCATTCCAATGGGGAAATGCTTTTCACTAGACGATGATTTTGCTAAACAGTGATTTCAGTGGAATGGATTATCATCGTCTAGCGAGGCACCAATGTATTGAAAAAATGGTCACATCAGTGGAGTGCTAATCTGGAAGTCATACATCACAACTACATGGATATCTCCCTTTTGGCACTTCATTGATGAAGCCTGATTTTCATTCATGAATTAAGAACTGAGATTTTCAGTTGAGAATTACAGAAAAGCAACCTTGTAGTATTTCCTCAAAGAAAACTAGAGAAGGGGGCAAGGCTTTTGGAAGAAGGAAGGGCACAGAAAGCACAAGATGTGAAAACATGAAATGGGATGATGAGGCACCTCTCCACATACACAGGCAATGAGCTGCTTTTACCAACCAAACCTGCTCCAACAATATCTTCATTATATCTACTGTAAGTTGCACATACCTTTTGTTGTTGTTCAGTCGTTAAGTCATATCCGACTCTTTGTGACCCCATGGACCAGAGCACAGCAGGCCGTCCTGTCTTCCACTGCCTACCGGAATCGGGTCAAATTCAGGTTGGTAGCTTCGCAGAGACTGTCCAACCATCTCATCCTCGGTCGTCCCATTCTCCTCTTGCCTTCACACTTTCCCAACATCAGGGTCTTTTCCAGGGAGTCTTTTGTTCTCATGAGATCGCCAAAGTATTGGAGCCTCAGCTTCAGGATCTGTCCTTCCAGTAAGCACTCAGGGTTGATTTCCTTCAGAATGGATAGGTTTGTTCTCCTTGCAGTCCAGGGGACTCTCAAGAATCTCCTCCAGCACCACGATTAAAAAGCATCAATTCTTCGGTGGTCAGCTTTCTTTATGATCCGGCTCTCACTTCCATACATGACTACTGGAAAAACCATAGCTTTGACTATGCGGCCCTTTGTCGGCAAGGTGATGTCTCTCTTTTTAAGATGCTGTTTAGGTTTGTCATAACTTTCCTCCCAAGAAGCAGACATCTTTTAATTTCATGGCTGCTGTCACCATCTGCAGTAATCATGGAGCCCAAGAAAGTAAAATCTGTCACTGCCTCCATATCTTCCCCTTCTATTTGCCAGGAGGTGATGGGGCCAGTGGCCATGATCTTGGTTTTTTTGTTGTTGTTGTTTCTGTCTCTCTAAGCATTCTGCCATCTTTCATGCCCTCTGAAACCATTTTGTGCATCTGATTTATCTCCACTAGATCTTTATGCACTTGGTCTATCTTCAATAGAGCTTCCGGGCTTTTTAAAATTAATTTTGCTGATTTTCTCCCCTTGTCTTCCCTTAATACTCTCCTCGAATCCAAGATTGAAGTTGTTTCTCTTAGGTTTTCCCCATTAATTTCCTCCAGCTGCTCTTTTGATTGACATACATCATCCGGCACACTCTCATTTCCTTTTTCGTTATTCCATGTCTCTTTTTGACTATAATTCTTCTTCAGATGTTCATTGAATAATTTTGCCTCTTGGTAGTGAGGTCTCATTATTTCTAGGATTGTTTGAAGGGTAGATTTTGTTTCATCCCAAAATTGTCCTTGTTGAGCCATTCTGTTCCAGCTGCCAAAGAGCTTAAACTAAGATTCGAAACCCAAGTATCACAGTCCAGTTCGATGATTGTATCTGTGGCCTAACTGATCCCTGGCAAATTAATGCCAGCCAAACAGATATTCCAAGTCTCCAGAGACAGTTCAAAGAGTCCGCTTTGGCTAAATAGACCTGAACCAAAATTTAAACCCCCAAAGTGCCAAGGTACAATGCAATGGTTGTATCCGTGGTCTGATGGCCTAATTCCCTCAGATTTATACCAGCTAGTCAAACACAAACACTTCCAGCTCCCGGGGCAGTTTCAGAGGATATACTTTTTCCAATTAGGCCTGAACCGAGGTTCAAAACCCCCAAATTTCACAGTCCAATTCAGTGTTTGTATCCATGTCCTGGTAGCCTAGTTCCTGCAATTCTGCATTGGCCAAAACTGAAATTCCAAGTCCCTGGATGTGGTTCCAAAAAGTTCACTTTGGCCCAATATACTGATTCCCAAAGTACAATTTAAAAAGATCCACTTTAGGGTTAATTTGTCTATGCCCCAGCCAGGCATGAAAAAATTAAAAGGAAATAAAAAACAGGTTTCCAAGCTTTAAACAGCAGTAGAGTGCACAAAGTCACTGTTCTGGGCATTATGCCAAAAGACTTCAGGTAGCCAAAACATAAGAAGATAACTGCAGACTTAACTAGTAATAGCTTACGAGACTTGCAAGCAAGCTTCCTAGCTGCTTGTTTCTGCCCGTTGGCTGATTGGGAAGTTTCCTGGATCAAACGGGGATGACCGCCGCCGCCCCCCCATGATCAACAGGGTTCCCCCCCCAGTTCACCACATCTTCGGGGTGGTTTCAACACCCTGGGGTGTCCCAAACAGGTCAGAATTCAGCTCAGGGGACAGAGCTCCATCTTCCTGCTGCTGTCTCATTGTGGCGTCAAGCCGGTCTCCTGATCTTAGTTTTTTTATGTTCAGCTTTAGACCATTTTTTTCGCTCTCCTCTTTCACCCTCATTAAGAGGTTCTTTAATTCCTCCTCA